GGCCCGCGAGTCGCCCCCCGCGGCAGAGCTGGTCCTCCGGGAGCCGCGGGCCCGCCGAGGCTGCCTGCACTACAACCCGAGCGCAGCGCGCCGCGCCCACGGGAGAGGACGGCGGGCGCTGCGTGCCCACCCGGCCCGGCCTGCGCGAACCTGGCTGCTAGGTTCACGGGCTCAGCTCCGTGTGTAGCTTTTTTATTGTTTTAAATAAACTGCAGCGTCATACTGCCCGTTTCCTCAGAGACTGAGAATAAAGCAAGAATAGGCATTTTGTATACTCGAGGACACAGTGTGATCTTACTTTGTCAAAATTCAATAATTTGCTTCCGTTTTCTCATCTGACGAGACTGCCTAGAAAGATAAAAATAGATCCTGGAGAAGTGTAGCCAAGTAGTTCCTCTCGACAAAATCTTCTCCTGATATTTAAATCTGGAACAGACCTACCCTTTGGTGACTAGTAAACTCCAGATAAAGGACGGCCTCAGTTGGTATGCTGAAGACTACACTAGGACAGAGTACTTTTGACTGCTTATTTTACCTACGTTGCAAGATGAATCAGCTCATTTGGCTTAATGTTTTAAATCCATTATATCAGTTGTATTGGTATTCAGTAATAAACCAGCATTTTTTCTGTGACATTAAATGACATTTTTCATTGTTTCTGTGTTTCAAATAAATCTCTTTATTTGATGATTTGAGGTTGTTTACAATGCCATTTAATTCAAGTGAACACACATTTTTACATCTACTGAATACTCTAGTCAATTAACCTTGCGACTAAAAATAAAAAAAACTTGGATGCAACTAATTATCATTTTTTAATAGAAAGCAGAAAATTAAATTATAAAATGGGGAAAAATACAATGATCCTAATGGAAATTCGACAGAACAATAGAGAAATAGTTCTGGTCCAGTATCTACTAATGAAGAATTGCAATATATGTGACTTGAGCATTACATACATAGTCCAAACTGAGTCTCCCATAGCCCACACCCCAATCCGGGTCCCCCCACAATCTTCCCTATCTCAGTTAATGGCAGCTCCCTCCTTCTGATTGCTCAGGCCTCAGACTTTAGTCCCTAAGCAAATTCTGTTGGCTTTGTCCTTCTATCTTCAGACCTTGACCACTGCTGACCGTTCAAGATGGCACCTCCTGGACTTCGTGGATAATTGCAGTGGCTTCCTGGAGGATCTTCCTGCTCCCACTCTTAACCTCCTGCAGTCTGTTCTTCAGACAGCAGTCAGAGTGACTGTATATAGGCTTTAGTATACTTAAATATTTTGAGTGACTATTATGTACCAGGCATTCTTCTTGATGCTTGGAATATAACCTCAAAAAAAAAACAAAAAACAATCTGCCTTTCTAGAGTTTTAGTGAAGGGAAACAGACAATAAATGATAAACATAATAAATAAATTCTATAGTATGATGAAAAAAGTGATAATATCTATGGAAAAAATAAATCAGGCTGAGGAGTTTAGGAACACCGGGGTGGGTGTGGAGGTGTGGGTGGCAAGTTGTCATTTCAAATAGGATGATGAGTGTGGATGTCTCTGAAAAGGCAGCTTTTGAGCAAATACTTGAAGGGGATGCAAGAGGAGAGCATGTGGATACTGGAGAAAGAGTGCACAAGGAAGGAGTTTAAATACAAGGTGGAACTATAATACTAGGCAAAAATCATGTGGGAGATGGGAAATCTTAGTGATTATAGTTGAACTATTCTAAGGTTCTTGTATTGCTGGGACAAGAGTAGAGATATTGAGTAACTTTTGACTTTGTCAAGTGATGCACACATGTTAAAAATTTAAGAATGACTATTAAAACAGAGAAGAAATACCAAGCCAGTAGAGGGAAAAGGAAAAATGAAGGATATTATGTAATCAACCCAATAGAAGTCAAGAAATGAGAAAGAATTTTTACTTTTTTTCTTTCTGCATATGTATTTAAGGTTATTAATGTTCCTTGAATTACAACTTTAGCTGCAACTCAAGGTTTGAAAGTATCCTGCTTTTATGGCTATTTAGTTATAAACATAGGCATATGTTGCATAATGATGGGGATACATTCTGAGAAATGCATCTTTAGGCGATATCGTTGTGTGCGAACATCATAGAGTATGATTACACAAACCTAGATGGTATAGCCTACTACACACCTAGCTATATGGTACTAATCTTATGGGACCAACATCCTATATGCAGTCTATCATTGACTGAAACATACTTATGTGGTGCATAACTGTAGATGAAATGAAGAAAATAGAATCAAGTAGCATGCATATGTACCTCTCAGAACTGGTATATAACAAAGATGGCATTTCTGATGAGTTAGGCGATATGGACTTTTAAAAAAATATTCTCATATAATTACTTATCCCTATGGAAAAATGTAAGATTTAATCACTTCCTTTTCCTTACATAAAAATACACATTTCCTTAAATGTGACAAAAAATCTCTAGAGGAAAATATGAGACTATTTCTACGTATTTCTGGGACCTCATTCCATTGCCTCTCTGTATGTTTATCTTCATATTCAAATATTTAAATGCTATTCTCAACACAGCATCCAGAGTGATCCTACTAAATGTAAGTCAGATCATGTTACTCGTCTGCTCAAACCTTCTAGTCCACAGCTTCCCCAGGCACTCACAGCAAAATCCCATGTCCTCACAATAGCCTCCAGGTTCTGGACAACACAGCCCCTCTCTGATCTCATCTCCTTCTTCTCTCCCCTTCCTTTTCTCTCCTCCAGACGCTCTGGCCCCTTTGTTGTTCCTTGAAAAAGCCAAAGTGCTCCTGCCTCAGGGCATTTGCTCTTGTTTCTTTGGCCTAGAACTCTTCTGCAGAAAGCTACACGGCTCATTTATAACCTCTTCCAAATATTTGCTCAAATTACATCTTTTCAAAATACCTGATGGTGGTATTTTATATTACCCATCCTATATCTATCACTTCCCATTGGCCTTTTTCTCCTTTATATTTCTCCATAACCCTTATCTTCATATCTTTGATGTGATTTACTTATTTATATTGTTATCATCTCTCCCTTTGATTGAATGTAAGCCCCATGAGGCAGGATTGCTTATTTTTTTTTTACTATTGTATCCCCAGCATCTCAACAGAGGAGTTCAATATTTGATGAACCGATTAATAAATGAATCCTTTAAAACTGCGATCAAATGTTAGTTCCTTTTATGAAGTCCTCCAATTAGAAGGAAATGCCTGTCATTAAAGTACCTCATGTTTCCATATCTTATTACTTTATTTCTCTTTTTCCTGCTATATTAGTCAGGGTTATCCAGAGAAACAGAACCACTTGAACATAGACCCCCCCCAATCCCTTTACACACAAACACATAGAGACAGAGACAGAGATTTTAAAGAAATTGGCTCACACAATTGTGGGGGCTGGCAAGCCCAAAATCTGTAGGGTAAGCTGACAGACTGAAGATTCAGGTAAGAGCTGATGTTGCAGTCTAGAGTCTGAAGGCTAGAAACTCAAGTGGAATTTCTACATTGCACTCTGGAGACAGAATCCCATCTTCTTTGGGAAACTTCAGTCTTTGGTCTTAAGGCCTTCAACTGATTAGATGAGGCCCACCCACACCATGGAGAGTAATCTGCTGTACTCAAAGTCTATTAATTTAAATGTTAATCACCTCTAAAAACTATCCTCATGTCTTGACATGAGTGCAACCATGTTTGGCCATTCCATTAACCTACAGCCACCAGCACACAAAGAAATAAAAAGCTTCTTTCTGTGTGGTGGGAACTGGCCTTTTTCCCGGGAACTGGCCTTTCTCCCATGGAGATAGTTGCAATTTGTAAAAATTTCAAGGTCCTTTGGGTGTCACAGCCTGGGGCAGACTGGCCATCTGTGCCGGGCTGGGATGATAACCAGGGAAAACAATGCACGTACACAACTGCTGGGCTGGGACGATAGCCAGGAGGCTTAGTGCATGTATGCTACTGATAACCATCTGTGCATGGGAACATTCAATGCTTGCTCTGTAAACTCTGTAACTGCTTATATAAACTGCTGGAAACTGAAGTCTGGTGAGAGTCTCACCTGTGGAGGGGATGCCCTGCCCAGGACCTCTGATGATCGGATTCCCGCCCGGCCGTGTCAGTTGAAGGGACTCTCCCCAGCAGTGGGGCGTGGATGTTGTGAGTAACCAATCTGATGTGTTCCCTTTTCGGTCAACCTGGTGTTTCTCCTTCCGGTTGATTTGTGTCATTTCCCTTCAGTCGATGTGGATGTTTTCCCTTTCCAATTGATCTGATGTTTTTCCCTCTCATTATATGATCTATTCAAATCTGCTGCTATCTCAGCCGATGTGGATGTTTTCCCTTTCCAGTCGAGCTGATGTTTTTCCCTCTTAATATTTGACCTATTCGGATCTGTTTGCAGACTGTCACCTTTACTCTCCTCTATATAATAAAATAAACCTTCAGTCCATTTGTTTGGAGTGAAAAGTTTCTTTTACGTCTCCGATCAAATCCCTGAACCTCTCATAACACCTCATGAAATATCTAGACTGGTTTTTTGTTGTTTTTTTTTTGTGAGGGAGATCAGCCCCGAGCTAACATCCGTGCTAATCCTCCTCTTTTCGCTGAGGAAGACTGGCTCTGAGCTAATGTCTATTGCCAATCCTCCTCCTTTTTTTCCCCAAAGCCCCAGTAGATAGTTGTATGTCATAGTTGCACATCCTTCTAGTTGCTGTATGTGGGATGCAGCCTCAGCATGGCCGGAGAAGCGCTGCGTCGGTGCGCACCCGGGATCTGAACCCCGGG